CCCTCCTCCCATTGTAATTCAGGCACAGCTGACCGGTGTTAATATCAACGCAGACCTTAAGACTGACCAGGGCTGGGCGTGGTGGCTCATGCCTGTAATCCCAGCACTTTGAGAGACCGAGGCAGGTGCGGATCACTTGAGATCAGGAGTTCAAGACCAGCCTGGCTAATATGGTGAAACCGTGTCTCTACAAAACATACAAAAAATTAGCCAGGTGTGGTGGTGGGTTCTTGTCATCCAACCACTCAGGAGACTGAGGCACGAGGATGACTTGAACCCGGGAGGCAGAGGTTGCAGTGAACCGAGGTTGCATCACTGCACTTCAGCCTGGGCGAGAGAGTGAGGTCCTACTTGGGGTTAGAACTTTAATATATAAATTTGGCCAAGGGAGGCCGGGTGCAGTGACTCACGCCTGTAATCCCAGCACCTTGGGAGGCTGAGGTAGGTGGATCACCTAACACCAGGAGCTTGAGACCAGCCTGGCCGATATGGTGAAACCCTGTTTCTACTGAAAATACAAAAATCAGCTGGGAGTGGTGGCGGGTACCTGTAGTTCAAGCTACTTGGGAGGCTGAGGTAGGAGAATCCAATCACTTGAAGCTGGGAAGCGGAGGTTGAGTGAGCTGAGATCGTGCCACTATACTCTAGCCTAGGTGACAGTCTCTGTCTGGGAAAAAAAAAACAAAAAAACAAACAAACATAAAACACCAGGCCAGGCACAGTGGCTCAGGCCTGTACTGCCAGCACTTTAAGGAAGCTGAGGCAGGTGGATCACCTGAGGTTGGGGATTCAAGACCAGCCTTATCAACACAGAGAAACCCTGTCTCTACTAAAAATACAAAATTAGCCAGGCGTGGTGGCGCATGCCTGTAATCACAGCTTCTCAGGAGGCTGAGGCAGGAGAATCACTTGAACAAGGGAGACAGAGGTTGCAGTGAGCCACGATAGCAACAAGAGCAAAACTCTATCTCAAACAAACAAAGAAACTTGGCCAGGGACTTGTCACAAGTCAACCCCTAAGGAACACGTGCCGTGCACTGCAGACTGAGGTGCGAGGGTACGCGGTCCCCTTCTTCAGGGGATGGAAGTGGCTCCTGTCCTGCTTGGCTTCCTTTTGTCCCCTTCTGGCTAGCGGGGGGGGGACAGGGCGGGGTTTTAGGTGGCTAGCCAATTTCCGCTTTGGAATTTGCAAACGCAGTAAGAAACTCAGTAAATATTTATTGATGAATTAGTGCAACTTCTTCTTGGCAGCTTGCCAGCTTCTGCTGGGAATTTTGTAATGTGAAAGCTGTTGGCTGGGTGTGGTAGCTTGCGCCTATAATCCTAGAAGTTTGGGAGGCGGAGGTGGGAGGATCACTGGAGGTCAAAAGTTTAAACCAGCCTGGCCAACATGGCGAAACCCCATCTCTACTAAAAATACAAAACTTAGCTGGACGGGCGGTGGGCACCTATAATGCCACTTGGAGGGCTGAGGTGCAAGGATAGCTTGAACCCCGTAGGCAGAGGTTGCAGTGAGCCGAGATCGCACCACTGCACTCCAGCCTGGGCGAAAGAACCACCGGACCCAGACCTCCTCCTGAGTTAACATCTCCCAAGCCCAAACCCTGTTACTGGCAGCAAATCTGTATGGGTCTGCAGCAAAGTCAATTCTTGCCTCCTCAGAAGAAAGAATTCGACTGAGGGGCATACGGCTGAGGCAAATTTTAGAGCAGGAGAGAAAGTTCATTGAAAAGCTTTAGAGCAGGGACAAAAGGCAGGAAAGTACCCTTGGAAGAGGGCCAGGCAGGTGACATGAAAGACCGTGTGGTTTGACCTTTAGAGCTGGGTTGTTTTTTTTTTTTTTTTTTTTGAGACGTAGTTTCACTCGTTACCCAGGCTGGAGTGCAATGGCACGATCTCAGCTCACCGCAACCTCCACCTCCTGGGCTCAAGCGATTCTCCTGCCTCAGCCTCCCAAGTAGCTAGGACTACAGTCACACACCAATGTGTCTGGCTAATTTTTTTTTTTACATGGTTATTAAAAGCCAACTAATTTTGTATGTTTAGTAGAGATGGGGTTTCTCCATGTTGGTCAGGCTGGTCTCAAACCCCTGACCTCAGATGATCCACCTGTCTCAGCTTCCCAAACTGCTGGCATTACAGGCGTGAGTCACCACACCTGGCCCCCTCCCCCTTTTTTTTTCCTGAGACAGAGTCTCAATCTGTTGCCCAAGTTAGACGGCAGTGGCATGATCTTGGCTCCCTGCAACCTCTGCCTCCTGGGTTCAAGCAATTCTCCACCTCAGCCTCCCGAGTAACTGGGATTACAGGCATGCGCCACCACTCCCTGCCACTTTTTTTGTATTTTTAGTGGAGACAGGGTTTCACCATATTTGCCAGGTTGTTCTCAAACTCCCCACCTTGTGAAATACCCGCCTTGGCCTCCCAAAGTACTGGGATTACAGGTGTGAGCCACCATGTCCAGCCTGAGTTGTTTTTTTTTGTATTTTTTGAGATGGAGTCTTACTCTATCACTAGTCTGGAGTGCAGCGGCGCGATCTCTGCTCACTGCGACCTCCGCTTCCCAGGTTCAAGCGATTCTCCTGCCTCAGTCTCCTGAGTGGCTGGGACTACAGTTGCACACCACCATTCCTGGCTAACTTTTGTATTTTTTGTAGAGATGGGGTTTCTCCATATATTGGTCAGGCTGGTCTCGAACTCCTGACCTCAGGTCATCTGCCCACCGCGGCCACCCAAAGTGCTGGGATTACAGGCGTGAGCCACCGTGCCTGGCCTGCAACCAATTACTTTAGAGGGACAGTTAACAACTGCCCAACCATCACGTGTTGTTGCCTGATATTCCTGGTTGGAGGGGGCCTCTCCTACCTGCTCCTGGCTGGCTGGCTACTTACTGTAACAACGCCCCACAGTGATGGCTCCACCAAGGACTTGAGGAAGCTGACTGAGGCGCCAAATGGCTCTGGGGAGATTCAGTATTATTACTCTAGGAAGAAAAAGCTGCCCCGCCTCATGGCCTCAGAAGTCAGTCAAGAAATGGGGATTTAGATAAATAAGCAGTTTGGAAAGGGTGTTTTGTTTTGTTTTTGTTTTAACAGGGTCATACTCTGTTGCCCAGGCTGGAGTGCGGTGGTGTGATCACGGCTCACCGCAACCTCTGCCTCCTGGTTCAAGTGATTCTCTTGCCTCATCCTCCTGAATAGCTGGGATTACAGGCATGCACCACACCCGGCTAATTTCTGTATATTTAGTAGACACGGGGTTTTGCCACGTTGGCCAGGTTGGCCTCAAACTCCTGACCTCAAGTGACCCACCCACCTCAGCCTCCCAGTGTTGGGATTACAGGTGTGAGACACCGTGTTCAGCCCCTTCCCTCATATTCTTTCATGATAAGGCCGACTAATTCCAAAGCCAAAATTCCCAGTTGCCCAGAAAATTGAGTTCCCCTGCCCTTCAGGCCAGGAATGGCTTCATCGCAGGAGGTGAGTGCAAAATACCTGGGCTCTCTCCTACCACTGCTGCAGGAAGGAGAGGGCAAAACTACGTTTCCATTGGAAAGCAATGCAAACGTTCCTGGCACCCTGAAAACGTGAGCAGCTGACGCCTCCCACGCATTCACGACGCACTGGCTCTAAGCGAATTTGCTGAGCTCCCACGAACTGCTACTGGCATAAGTTCTGTGCTTTGTGCATTTTGTGACCGACATGCTAAGGCACAGAGAGGTTGAGTCAGTTATCCAAACTCATTCAGCTGTAGTGTGGGACCGCGAGTCTGCCCCACACCCCCTACTCACTGCCCCTCAGTCAGAGGATGAGGGCCAGGCACTTGCAGGGCTAGCTAGAGGCTGTTCTGTCCAGCCTGTCCCAGGTCAGCCGCCATGCCCACCCACTCTGGCAGGAAGGCTGCTTGTGGCCTAAAGACCAGGTTGAAGGGGGAGTGCGGCCGCGTGAAGTTGGCCAGGTAGATGGTGTCCCCACCCGTGAGGTAGGCAGCCCAGGTTCCAAAGGTGCCCACGGTGATGATGGTGTGGTTGCACTGTGTCAGCAGTGCAAAGTCCCTGGCAGGTGAGCCCTGGAGGCCATTCCCGGCGAATACCACGTCCCCGAGGGAGCTGTTGATGGTTTCCCGGCACCAGGCCATGTCATCGCTGGCGACCACAAAGACCGGGAGGTGGTAACGGGCCCGAAACCAGTCCAGGGCCCGCTGCAGGTAGCCCCGGTCGGCCAGCACCCCCTTCCACACGCGCGGCATGACATGGACGTAGTCCCCCCGGCGCACATGGACCCCCACGAAGGTCGCCTGTTCCGCCCACCTGGCCTGCAGGCCCCGCAGAAACCTCTGGGCCTCCTCGCGCACGTGGTCGTGCAGGGTGAACTCCTGGAGGATCTCGTGGCGGAGGTGGTGGTAGAAGGTCCAGGAGCTGGGGTAGCCCGTGAGGCGAACATAGCGCCCCGGGATGTGGCGGTACTCCTCCTCCATCCAGTCGTTCAGGTGGTAGTTCTGCCAGGGGATCCTGCTGGCCGTGGAGCTGTGCAGCACTGGCAGGGTGATTCTGAAGATGGGGGCCAGGGCGCTGTGCATCTGGGCAGGGATGAAGGCGGGCCGCCCGTTCAGCTTGGCCAGGGCGTACAGTGTGGCGTACTCGCCCATCTGGTTCCCCAGGCGGCCCTTGGAGTTGATGGTGAACAGGCCCTCCCGGGGGAGGTGTCTGGGGGCCAGGACCACACGGGCTGAGTATGCCCAGGGTGCGGGCACTAGAGCCAGGCGCTGGTGGCAGTGGAAGACGGTGGACACCACAAAGATGGCAAAGAGGAAGTAGATGGTGGAGAAGGAAGGGCGGGTGGTCCAGTATCCCTTGATGGCTGCCGGGAAGAGAGAGGACAGGGTCAGAAGGGAGGGCTGGGTGTACAGGAGTCTCTCACCCACCCCTGGCCAAAGTCATTCACTAACACACTCAATCCATCCATCCAAGCCTCTGTCCTGAGAGCCAAGGTGCATGGGAGAGACCTCAGAGCACAGACGCTGGGGTCTTTCCACCTGCGACTGAGTTCCAGCTGGAAGTCCCAGCCTTACCAGCACCATGTGACTTCGGTCAAGTTACTGCAGCTCGCTGGGCACAGTGGCTCATGCCTGTAATCTCGGTACTCTGGGAGGCTGAGATGGGAGGATCACCTGAGCCTGAGTTCAAAAGCAGCTTGGGCAAAAAAGTGAGACTCTATCCCTACAAAAACCAACCAACCTACCAACCAAAAAAACAACTTTTAAGGCTGGGCGCGGTGGCTCATGCCTGTAATCCCAGCACTTTGGGAGGCCAAGGCAGGCGGATGGCCTGAAGTCAGGAGTGCTAGACCAGCCTGGCCAACATGGTGAAAGCCCATCTCTACCAAAAATACAAAAATTAGGGCGTGGTGGCAGGCATTTGTAATCCCAGCTACTCAAGAGGCTGAGGCACGAGAATTGCTTGAACCCAGGAGCCCAGGAGACAGAGGTTGTAGTGAGCCAAGATTGCGCCACTGCACTTCAGCCCAGGTGACAGAGTGAGACTCTGTTTCATAAATAAATACTTGCAGAGTATCTATTACATGCCAGGCATGGTGCTCAGGGCCAGGAAGCCAGCAGGGGACAAAACAGACAGGAATCTTTGGTGCCTGTGCAGAGGGAAAGAGCATGGTGGGCCCAAGTTCATGGGCAGACTCTGCCTTCTGCAGGCTGGTGACCTGGAGGTATCATTTAACTCCTCCTCTCCTCCTCCATGAAATGGGGCTGCCACACACCTGCAATACTGATAAGTGCTAAGCGTTTCCTGATGCTGTTAGTGGGTGTGGTGGATTCAAGACGACCATGAACTCCTGGATTCCCTTTTCCTTGAATCTGGGTGGGCCCATGACCGCCTTGAGCAGTTTAATACCTGGCAAGTGAAATTGCGTCCATTTCTGGCCCAGGACTCAAGAAACTAGCAGCTTTCACTTCTTGCCTTGGGAATATTCTCTCTGCACTATCACGTCAAGCTGGAGAGTTCAGCTTTTGCTTTTTGAGACAGGTGCTCACTCTGTTACCCAGGATGAAGTGCCAGTGGTATGATCATAGGTGGGCTCAAGGGATCCTTCCACTTCAGCCTCCCCAGTAGCTGGGACCACAGGCGTGTGCCACCACACTCAGCTAATTCTTACATTTTTTGTGGAGATGGGGGTCTCACTGTTTCTGAGGCTGGTGTTGAAGTCCTGAGCTCAAGCAATCCTCCTGCCTTGGGCTCCCAGACTGCTGGGATTACAGGTGTGGGCCAGTTTTAGCTTTTGTATGTAGGGCTATGATTAGCTCTTTTTTTTTTTTTTTTTTTTTTTTTTGAGATGGAGTCTCACTCTGTCGCCCAGGCTGCGGTGCAGTGGCGCAATCTTGGCTCACTGCAACTTCCACCTCCCAGGCTCAAGCGATTCTCCTGCCTCAGCCTCTTGAGTAGCTGAAATTACAGGATTTTTGAGTAGAGAAAGGGATTCACCATGTTGACCTCAGGTGATCCACCCGCCGAAGTCTGCCAAAGTGCTGGGATCGAGGTGTGAGCCAGCACACCTGGCCTAAGTGTGTGATTTAACAGCTTTTAGTGTATTCACAGAGCTGTGCAACCATCACAATCAATTTTTGAATATTTGCCTAACTCCCCCCAAAAACCCATAGCCTTTAACCATCTCCCCACCATCTTCCCTGCCCCTCGTCTCCTGCACCAACTGATCTCCTGTCTCCATGGAGTTGCCTACGCTGGAGTTTTCGTGTGCCCTTCTGCCTCTGGCTTCCTCCCTCGGTAGCTAGTGCTTTTTCAAGGCCCATCCATGCTGTAGCAGGTGTAGAACTGACGCCTCCCTCCTTTCAAGGCTGAAAGTCCCATTGTCTGGGTGGACCACAAGGCGTTCATTCATTAGTCAGGTGATGGGCCCTGGAGCTGTTTATAGTTTTCGGCTGTCATGAATAGTGCTGCCATGAACCTGCGTGCTGGGTCACAGGCTGACTCTGTGTGGAATCTTTTGGGAGCTGCCAGGCGGCTCCCCTACTTTCCGTTTCCACCAGCAGCAGCACAGGAGGACCCCATTTCCCAGCCTTGAGAGCCATCGTGTTTGGCTGTAGTGGGTGCACAGGGCCATCTCACCATGGGTCCCATGCCTTTTCACATCCAGGTCCAGCCCTGACCACTGGGCCTGATGGGGCCCAGGTCCTCTCAGTGGGGTGGGTGGTCCCTTCTCCAGGGGCTGTTCCATCTACCCCCAGGGCTCCCAGAAGGCCTTCTGCTCCCAGTCCCTACCATGTCCTGATCGGCTTTTTCTTCTTCCGTTGTTCACTCCTCTGACCAACGTCCTATGGTTTCCCTGTGGCCATTCCAATGGCTACAGCTCAGCAGTCATCCCCTCACCCCCTCCCCTCCTACCCCATCTCTACTGAAGCACTGGTTGGTACGGGCTCACCCCCAAAACTTCTGGCTTCTGCCTCACCCCTCCTGACTCCCCGTCTCTCCCCCGCCTGTCCACTGAAACCTTGGGGTCCTGTGGGCCTCCTCAGCTCTCATCCTCTGTTCCAAGGCTCCTCACTTGGTTAATCTGATCCTTTTGAGAAGCCTGAACACTCTGGCACTCTCCTTGAAAGTTTCACGTGTGTCCCTAGCAAAGCCAGCTGGCCTAAATCCTAAGAGAAATGCCTCTGGCACTGCTTTCATTCCCAAAAAGTGAGTTACATCTGCCAGAGCCCTTTTTCACTGAGCTGGTGGAAATTGTGTCCCAAACACGATCTTGCCACCCATTCAACTCAGGGTCCTGCCCTGAAGAAGGAACTAAGCTCTGAGCCCAGCTGGAGCCCCTGGGGCAGGTCCCAAGGCCAGGGCTGCGGGAGGAAGGTGCAGGGCAAGGACTGGAACTTGGGCCACTCACTGACCAGGAGAAACCAGCTGAGGACAAGGGCGCCCCCCGTGGGGTCCACCTTTATGTTGTGTGGTGTTGCCATCTTAAAATCCTTCATAGATTCTAAACAAGGGGTCCAGTGTCTGCATTTTGCCCCGGGGCCCTGCGGATCACACAGTGGGTGCCCTGACTTTTCCCGGAGTCTCAGGTGCGCCCTCTCGTGGCTGTTCTCAGCTTAGACAACCAGAAAGCCATAGAAAAGCAGACACCAAGGCGGAGGCTGCCAGGGTGGGGGCGGGCCAGTCCCATCTCGGGGCTTGCTGTTGTGGTACGAGATTCCTTGTCAGCCATTGTCCTCAGGGGGACTGGCAAACGGCAACCTGGACTGAACTCATCTGGGGACAACCCTGGCTTGGAGGGCAGTGTGCTGTGCCGTGGATGCTATCTGACATGGACTATATCCGTCAACAGGGTCAAAATACAGAAGGTTCCGGAATACAAAATATGACTGTCCCAGAGAGTTCAGGCAAGAACCCATGGGCATGTCAGCTCATTTAGTCCTCACCACCCCCTCCGCCCACCATGAGGATGCTTTCATCCTCATTTAACAGATGAGGAAACTAAGGCAGAGAGAGGCGAAAAGCCTTGCTCTCAGTCATACAGCTAGGACAGAGGTGAGTGTGAACCCAGGCAGTGCGGCTGGGGTTACCATCCTGGCCTTTTCAAACATGTCCTGGGGAGGGCAGGCCCCATCCGTCCACACTGCCCAGTAACTCATGCCGCGTGACCTGCCCTGCCTCGTGGGGCCTCCGTCATGTCTGGGTCACTGAGGCAGGGGTTAGAGGTCTGTGGGAGCCCAGCACCCAGGGTCACTCCAGGTTGAACCCACCTGAGAGCTGTGCCTTGGGCAGGCCCGGCCTTCTGTAGAGCTGTGAGGGTGAAGGTCTCCAGCACTTAAAGAACTCTCCTACATGTGCGCGCGCGCGCACACACACACACACACACACACACACACACACACACACAGTCTCCTTCCCAACTTGGGGAACTATTTCCTGGGCTCTGGCAGCTCTTGTCTTCTCCTCCCCAGGCACCCGCAGGGGCACCAATCACCTCAGGCAGCTCAGACTGTGGGGAACAAAAGTGTCCCTCCAGGAGCGGGAGCTCAAGAGACTTCGCCTAGGTGAGGAGGAAGACACGAAACTTGAACCTTCTTCCCCAGTTCTGTCTGGCAGCCATCTGGGTTCTGCGCTGGCCGTGGCCTCGGCATAAACGCCTCTCCATGTCACCCACTTACATCTGCAGCCCCTGGGTCCCCAGGGCCCCTTCCCCATTTGCCTTTGCTCCAAGGCGACTGGCACCTCCAGACAATCTAGAGCACAGAAGGACCTGAGCTGCTGGGGTCTCCCCTCCCTCTCCAGACAGTGAGCCTGACAGGGCAGGGTGTGTTCCCAGCACACACCCAGCACACACCCCCGGCAAAGTCCCAGACCAGGAGAGCTCAGATAGGGTCAGCAGGGGACCCGGCCTGGGCCCCCAGCTCCAACATGTCCCTCTGACATGGGGGCATCTTGGCTTCATTCTGTCCTCCTGCAACCGATTCCCCTCCCAGCTTTGGAAGTGACTCCCTTCTTTCAAATCCGATGTCCCTGTCCTGTTCCTGCCTTGTCTGGCCCCCTCATGTTGGAGGGTACCTAAGGGTCCAGAATCCAGGGTTGCCTTGGCTGTGCCCTTGAACCCTCCCGGGACAGTGGGTCCCATGCCTGTCAGGATCAAGCCCATACTATACCACGATAAACGCTGGGGCCACCCGGGGCAGCAGGTGCCGCGCCCCAACCCCATGAGGCCCTTGCTTTCTCAGCGGGAAGCGACCGAAAACATTATTTTTCTAGTCAACCCATTCGGATATGGAATAGAGCGAACAGCAACATTTGAACGAAAATGTCACGATGAAAACACTGAGGCCTCGCAGGACACTGGCACTGGGGAGGTACTTTTGAGCTCTGTCCCCTGCACCCCAGGGGTCCCCGCCTTCTCCCTCCACTGCAGGAGAAACACTGGGGCCCAGATGTTCTCGGCTCCTTGGTCGCCTTCCCCACCATCTTAGAAAGCAGCTGAGGTCTTTGGAATTCCCAGGGGCTAGCATGAACCTTCAAAGAACACAGATTTTTAGGGCTTGAAAATGACTGACCTTAAGGCTCAGGGAACTCACAGCTGACAGGTTCCAGAGGGAGAAGGAGGGGCTGGCTTGGGTTCACGCAGTCAGAGGCAGGAGCCAAGCAAAGTTCCCAACAGTGATTGTCTCCCAAAGGTCAGTCCCTGACCGATCGCCGCCACCTCGAGGTGGGGCTGAGCCACTGGGCAGTCGGGGAGTGGGATGGAGCGGGCCCGGCTGATGGCCTCCAGTCCTACCTGTGGTAAGCCTCCTAGACCAGGCTGCTCGGGGCGTCCTGCCGCTGGACCGCCGGGGGGCACCGGCGCTCACCTCCCACACCGTTGCGGGTGGCCTGGCTGGCAGGGGTCCCTGTGGGGACAGCGTCGCTGCGGTTGGTGAGGGGATTGGGGCGGGAGGGGGGTGGCGGTGTTGGATTCTGCAGGCTCTGCTCCGAGCCCCCGCCCAGTCCAGAAACCCCACTAGCCTGGGGCCTGAGAACAACCACTGGCCACTCCCTCCGGAGCGCCCACCGCGCCACTGCTAGGAGGAAGAGCCTGCGGGAACTGGCGGCAGGACGCTCTCCTCTTGAGTGCAGGTCTGGCCAACGTCGGGGCCTCAGGGATCGGGTCGGGGGTGCATGCCAAGAGCCATGAAAAGGAGGCCTGGTCCCAGATGGACCTCACGGCACCCAGGCAGGCAGCCTACGGGTCTGCTGGGAGCATGGCTGGACTGTTTCCTAAAGAGGGGTATGGACTGGGGGATTGGACATCTGTGTTCTCCGTGGGCCACGACTAGTTTCTGGGTCCCCCAGGAACACTGGGACCTCATAGCCTGGTTCCCCAAGGTGCTAAGGGCTAGAGGGTGCCACCCCTTGAACTATCCAGCAGGGGAGAAAGGGGACATGGGGGGGCTGGTTCTTAACAGGCTGCTGCTGAGGGCCAGGCGGGCAGCCGCCACCCGAGTAAGCGCAAAATGGCGCCAGGCTCCTTGGGAGGGGCGGAGGGCAAGCCTGTCATCTGGGGCCAGGGGAGGCAGAGTCTGCATGTGGCCAACAGCAGTGGGGACATGGGCTGTGAGGCCAGGCGGAGCCCGTGTGGCCCACCCCTATCCCCAGGGTGTCCCAGAGACGCGCAGCCCAGGGTCATGCCTGGGCGCAGATGCAGAGCCAAGGGCCTGGAAAAGCTCCGAGAGGCTGGTGGCCCTGGAAGGGGAAAGTGGGGCCATTTCAGAGCCCAGTCTTGCCCAGCTCCTGCCATTCCTGGGGTCTGGGCTTATGGCCCCTCGGGCTCCCTGGCATCTGGCACCCCACCCTGTCCAAGCTCCTGCTTTCCTGCCTCTCTCCTCCTCATGACCCACCACCCCCAACATCTGTTCCCCCATCTGCTCTGGGGACCTCTGGTCTCTGGGCCCTGGGCCCTGGGGCCCAGGATAGTGGGCGGGGGCTGTATTGTGCAGAACGTCCCAGAACTGTTAACTTCTGGTCCCCACACCCAGATTTCTGAAGGGAACCCAGGTGTCTGCTTCCTCTGGCCCCACAGGGACTCCACTGGCCCACTCCCAAGCCCCAGAGCCACCGAGGTTCCAGCTCCCAGAATCCCTTTCCTCAGCTCAGCACTCTGGGCTTCGCACTTGGGTGGGAAAGGGTTAAGGGGGTGGGTGGGTGGCAGGGAAGCTGGGTTGTTTGGTGATAATCCCCTTCCGTGCCCAGGGTGTGGAGAACAAGGTTAGGGCCCCACGTGGGAAAGGCCATGGCTCTGATCCCCACGGGCCTGGGCCTTAGCCTCTCACTTCTAATCCCCCACCAGACACCCCTATCCTGTCCCTTCCCCTCCCCAGGGCCTGCTGGGCTGGGTGTCTCTGAGCCCACCTGCCCGTCTGTCTCGGCCCCCAGACTGTCTGAGCCTGTCGCCCAGCTTCCTGTGGCCTCTGGGTGCCTGGCCTCTATCTCTGCCGCCCGGCCTCCAGGCTGTCTGTCTTTGCAGCTCCTTCTCTGCGCCGGGCCCTCCCCTAGGCCTACTGTCCTGTCCTCCACTGCTTTATGACCGAGTCTTCGTCTGTCCCTCAGTCTCCTCTCCTGCCCAGCCCTGACTGCCTCTGGGTTCTTCCCTAGGTTTCCCCGTCTGCTGGCCAGCCCCTCTGCTCCAGCTCCTCACTGCTCCCCAGGGCCCCCTGCCCCTCGACACCGACAGATAACTCTGGGGTGTTAAGCTTCGGATTAGTTCAGGCAAAATTCTCGATTTTGTCTGCGTTCTTTCCCCTTTGGGTTATGTAAACAGTAATTCTCCCCAGATGGAACTATTTTCCTCGCTTCCATGCAGCCGGGGAGGGGGCCTGGACGGGCTGGGGGTGGAACGCTCCGGTTCCACAGGACGCCTCCAGGAAGGGTAGAGGACACAGCCGAGGTCCCTAGCCCAGCCACCTCTCTTCCCTCCAGGTGCCGACTCTGCTGTGACCATGCCTGTGACCTTTGCCCTCCTGCTCCTCCTGGGCCAGGCCACTGCAGACCCATGCTATGATCCACAGGGCCACCCCCGATTCTGCCTCCCGCCAGTGACACAGCTGGCTGCCTCGGCAGCCTCTTGCCCTCAGGCCTGCACCCTGTCCCCAGGGAACCACCTTGGCCCTGGGGAAACCTGCAATGGCAGCCTGACCTTGGCCCTGGGTGGCCCCTTCCTCCTGACATCTGTCAGCCTGCGCTTCTGTACCCCAGGACCCCCGGCCCTCATCCTGTCTGCCGCCTGGGCCGCAGGGGGTCCCTGGAGGCTGCTGTGGCACAGACCTGCCTGGCCTGGGGCCTTGGGAGGCCCTGAACGAGTGACCTTCCGCTCCACACCAGGCTCTAAGGCCACTGTGGCGGCCAGCCACCTCCGCGTGGAGTTCAGGGGCCAGGCCAGGCTGGCAGCGGCTGGGCTGAGAGGCCGCTGCCAGTGCCATGGCCACGCCGCCCGCTGTGCTGCCCGTGCCCGGCCCCCTCGCTGCCGCTGCCGCCACCATACCACCGGCCCGGGGTGCGAGAGCTGCCGCCCATCCCATCGAGACAGGCCCTGGCGGCCAGCCACGCCCCAGCACCCCCACCCTTGCCTGCGTGAGTCCTGGCCCACCCCTTGCCTGCCTGCCACTGCATCCCTTGTCCCTATGGGAGCACAATGCTCCCTTTCCTCCCTGGAACTGCGTGCTCCTTGCCTCTCACCCATCTCAGACTTGGTCCCCTCTGTACCTCCTCCCTGCAGCATGTCCTGTATCTCAGCCACACACAGGCCTGTCTGCCCATGAGGGGCTCAGCCTCTCTCCAACACTCATCTGCCTGTGATGATGGTGGTGATGATGATGATGGTGGTAGTGATGGTGGTAATGGTAACGATGATAATGGTGGTGGTGATGGTGACAGTGGTGGTGGTGATGATGGTAGTGGTGATGGTGGTGATGATGGTGGTAGTGGTGATGATGGTGATGGTGGTGGTGGTGATGGCGATGATGGCGGTGGTGACAATGGTGATGCTGGTGGTGGTGGTGGTGATGGTGGCAGTGGGGAAGATGGTGGCAGTGACGGTGGTGGTGATAATCACGGTGATGGTAGTGGAGATGGTAATGGTGGTGGTGATGTGATGATGATCATGATGTAATAACAGTTCCCAAGCACCCATCCCAGGGCCTGGCTGGATGCAGGTACTTGGGTAATATTTATTGAACAGTTGTATGGGAACAGGGCAGCTAGATGGTACCTGACTCCTCAAACCAACCATAGGGGGAAGTATTGGGTAATTAAACACACATTAATCAATCACCTACTGTATGCCATGCGGGGACTGTCATCAGGCGCATTTTACAGATGAGGAGACTCAGTGCTAGAGTTCAAAAGTCCCCTGAACAAGGACACACGGCGGCTGTGTGTGGCAGGGCCAGGATCTGAGCTCAGGAAGCCAAGTTCTGGGGTCTCAGATTGTCGCTGCTAAGCTCTTGCCAGGTCCTGTCACATCAGGTGCTCTCGGGTGGCAGACAGGAGGCAACAGACAGAAGCATGGCTTTGGCGGCCTGCCAGCCAGACTGCCTGGGCTTGAATGCCAGCTCCTCTGCTTACCAGCTGTGTGACCTTGGGCAAATGACCTAACCTTTCGGTGCCTCAGTTTCCTCCCCATAGAGTGGGGATAATAAGAGCACATCCTTTACAAACTGTAGTGAAAGTTCAATGTGTTAATTATACATAAAGCCTTTAAATAAAGCCCAGTGTGGTACCTGGCACAAAGGAAGGGCTTCCTGAGCACCTGCCAAAGTCGCAACTCCCCAGCTGAGGAAGGTGAGGCTCAGAAATGTGTCACTTGCGCCAAGTCTCATTGCCGGCAAGGGACTGAACCCTGGGCGGCCTGAGTTCCAAGACGCTGCGACAATACACTGTACCATCCAGCTGGGCAAGTGCCCCTGCCCCCGGCAGGTCCTATTTGATGCCCTCTTTCCTGCAGGTGTTTCCAGACTGGGCCTTCCCCACTTCCCTCCAGCAGCCCTTCCTCAGAGAGAGCTGGTGTCAGCTCCTTCCAGCCCTGACACTTGGTTGTGGGTCTGAGGTCCTGGGAGGTAACTCTACCAACAGACACAGAAACAGACACACATACAGACAGACAGACACACACACACACACACACACACACACACGTGTACCAAGTGTGCCCTGCCTTCTTTCTCTACCTCCCATGCTCTTTGCCTCCAGGCCCTCTACTTTTCTTTTCTTTTTTTTTTTTTAGTTTCCAGGTGCAATGGCTCAGGCCTGTAATCCCAGCACGTTGGGAGGCCTAGGTGGGCGGATGACCTGAGGTTGGGAGTTCAAGACCAACCTGACCAACAGAGCAAAACCCGTCTCTACTAAAAATACAAAATTAGTTGGTGTGCTGGTGCATGCCTGTAATCCCAGCTACTCGGGAGGCTGAGCCAGGAGAACTGCATGAACCCAGGAGGCAGAGGTTGCAGTGTGCCAAGATCATGCCATTTCATTCCAGCCTGGGCAACAAGACCTAAAGTCTGTCTCAAAAAAAAAAAGGGGTCTGGAGATGGAGTCTCACTCTGTCACTCTGTCACCCAGGCTGGAGTGGAGCGGCGCAGTCTCGGCTCACTACAACCTCAGCCTCCAAGTTCAAGCCATTTTCCTGCCTTAGCCTTCCAAGTAGCTGGAATTACAGGTGTGCGCCACCATGCCCAGATTAACTTTTTTTGTATTTTTAGTAGAGACAGGTTTCACCATGTTGGCCAGGCTGGTCTTGAACTCCTGACCTCAGGTGATCCGCCCGCCTTGGCCTCCCAAAGTGCTGGGATTACAGACGTGAGCCACCATGCCCGGCCTCTGCCCCTCTATGTCTCCATACCTGAAGGTTACACGGGCTAACTTACAGACCATCCCCATTCTCTGGCAAATCTTTTACGTAAGCTGGGAGTAAGGTGGGAAACTCACCTGGCCTGATGGGCCTGGACAGGGCCTGGGCACTGGGGAGGCTGTCCTGCTGAGGGTCACCACATCCCCCTGACTGAGCAGGGCAGTGCCCTCCAAACCAGGGTAAGAGACCGACAATGAGCGGCAGAGAAAGGCCAGGGTGAGACTGAGGCCTGCAGTGGGGCTGCCTGCTTCAGAGACATCCCTGTCTGCATCTTCCCTCTCCCATCTCAGTTTTTCAGAGGGGAAGTGAGGTGAAGCAATTACCCTTGGGCCTGACTCAATTCACTGACCACTGGAATAGCTTTGCCACCTCCCATGCCCACGAAAACCCTGGGAGAGAAGGATCTGTATTCTCACTAGACAGGGAGAAAATAGAGACTGGGAGAGGGGGAGTTGTTTTCCCAAGAACATGCAGCTGGTCTCAGCTCCCTGATCATCCCGTGACTCTTCTGGGCTCTCAGGGATCTGTCAGTCCAGGGCTCTCAAACCTCTCAGAGTCAAAACACCCTGAAGTCAAGTCTCTTCAAAGAATGTCCATGAGCCTGGGCAACATAAGGAGACCCCGTCTTTACAAAAAAAATTAAAAAGTAGCCCGGCGTGGTGGTGCATGCCTGTGGACCCAGCTATCAAGGAGGCTGAGCTGGGAAGATCCCCTGAGCCCAGGAGTTGGAGGCTGCGGTGAGCTGTGATCACACCACTGCATTCCAGCTGGGAGTAGGTGATAGAGTGAGACTTTATTTCAAATATAAAAAATAAGAGTGGTTTATGCATGCCCTGTATCAGCAGCTCACTCTGCAGTGCTCGCTGGAAATGCAGATCCCTGGGCCCACCAGAAACCCTAGGGAAGAGCCCTGATACCTAGCTTTTGTTGTTTTGGGTTTTTCTTTCCTTTTTTTCTGAGACCGAGTCTTACTCGGTCACCAGGCTGGAGTACAGTGGCACAATCTCAGCTCACTGCAACCTCTGCCTGCCGGGTTCAAGTGATTTTCCTGCCTCAGCCTCCCAAGTAGCTGGACTACAGGCGTGTGCCTCCACACCCAACTAATTTTTGTATTTTTTTTTCTTCATCGTTCAACTTGATAATTTCAGTATTTTTGTAGAGACAGGGTTTCACCATGTTGGCAAGGATGGTCTCCGTCTCTTGACCTTGTGATCCACCCACCTTGGCCTCCCAAAGCACTGGGATTTACAGCTGTGAGCACCGCGCGCCGGGCAGGTTTTTTGTTTCTTTTTAATGGAAACAAAAAGCGGTGCTGTTTTATAAAAACAAAACCAACAGCCACATATCCCTGATAATTCTGAATGAGTAGTGAAAGGTTTGAGGAGCTCACCTAAAAAGCTGATAAACAGTCAGCACTCTGTCGCCCAGGCCGGAGTGCAAGTGGTGCAAACCATAACTCACTGCAGCCGTCCACTCCCAGGCTCAAAGTCATCCTCCCCACCTCACCTCCAGAGTAGCTGGGATTTACAGGTGTCGGCCACTATGCCCTGCTGTGGGTTTTTAATAAAAACAACAACAACAACACAACAACAAATTTCCCTGAAAATTCTGATGAGTAGTAAGGGTTTTGAGTCACCCTAGAAAAACCTGATAAATGCTCCCAGGGACAATGTACACTGCTACAATCCTCGTGAGCTGTGTATTCCTAGAGTGAGGTAAAGAGCTCAGACTCTCAGCCCAGAAACCCGTGTTTAGTCCTGCCTCCAACTACCGTGCTAGCTGTACCTCTCTCTGTGCCTCAGCTTCTCCCTCTGTAAAATGGGATGATAGTGCCAGGCTCACAGAGCACTTGTGGGATAAAATACATCCAGCACTTAGCCAGGGTGCCTGCAAAATGCCTGCACGTGGGAGTGCTTGACAGTCAAGTGCTTGCCGTCTGCCAGGCCTGGGCTAAGCACTCTCTATCCACTTTATCTCATTTAAGCCTCATGAAGTAAACATTATAAATGCCATTTCACAGTCAATCAAACCACAGAGGGAGAAGTCACCTGCCCAGGAATACAGTCAGAGGGGCAGACAGGGCTAGCAGGGTCTCATTCCACAGGCCA